AGGCCCGTTTGGAAAATGATATTGCTACCTTCCATGTCTCTGTTGAGAGGTGATCCTAAGCCGTGGGCCAGACCTCACAGGTGACTGGGCGGCCATTTTATACCCAAGCTCCTTTAGGACTGTGGTGCAGCCCACTCAGTCCCGTGGATTTGTTACCCTTCAGTTTATTATCTGACATCCCTGAGCTCCTCTAAAGGAGTACTGATGTGAGGAATTGCCTCAGCTTTCTTGCCATGACCCTCATCTCGGCTTTTTATGTGTGTCCTTATTGCTGCAAACCAGCTTTGGTGGTGGATGGGGCGGTTGCCACTCTTTTCTCCTTGGCATCCCTTGTACCCATGAACACATTCCTGTTGTGCAAAGCTTGCATATAATTTCTAATCCTCAGCTTGTATTGGAGCTGCCTTCGGTGGTTTGGCGAGGCCACAAATGCTTTTGTAATCAGGACGTATGTTTTATACTGGGACTATCCCCTAAACATGTGGGTCTTAAAATGCAAATGTGTAATCCTCTGGTGCTGGAGTTGGGGCGCTAGAGCTTACAAAGAGGATGTAATGTACTATTCAGAAGCCTCTTTTCCTGATTTGAGGTTTATCAGGGCTGTCTGTAAGCTTGCCTTTCATGCATAAGGAACAGGCTTGCTTAGTGCTCATTTTTTAAAACCCGCTATCAAGCAGTTCGCATAGCAGCTGCCTTGCCTCCAAAACACTTCGGTATCAGGCTTTCCAATTAGACAGCTCTCTGTTGCAATGCTCTGCCGTTATGAGCTCTTTCCATCCTGCTTCCCAGCGATGTTGAAATCTGGCCTGAACTACTTTCCTTTTGCCCCAGTCCAGTTGCTGGCAGCCCCTGTGCGCTGCAGAGCCCCGGGAAGGCGTCCGGAGCACTGCCGAGACCTCTGGCTGCAGGCTGGAGTAATCCCAGCACACAAACAAATGCCACAAAACATTTTTTTAAAACATTCAGGCAGTGAAGTTGTGCTTTTAAATGTCCCGGTCTAAGAGACAGGGTTCAAAACATGTGAGAGAAGAGAAAGTCTCATCATAAACACAGCTTTGGGCTCCCCATGTATGACTTTTTTCTCTTCCCAGGTTTGAGAAAGGAGGAATTGCCTGGTGTTAATGCCTTAGCTGCTGTGCAGGCATCTGGAAGTACAGGCATAGGGAAGAAACTGTGTCAGATATTTGAGTTTTAGCCAAAACCCAGCAACTGAAATATTCTCCTACCTGCAGAACTATAGAAGGGAGTTCAGAAATCAACAAGTTAACAGCAAATCCTTGATTTTGGATGGCTTCCTATAACTGCGTGTCATTAATGGGAATAACACCTGTGCCACTGCAGGGCTGGGAAGTGGTGTTGTTCTCATAGCAGTCGTGCTTTCAGATGAAGAGAAGCCATCACGCTGCCATTTAATTTTAGATGTGCTATAAGCAGATAAGTGTAACTAACAATAAAAGGGAAATGGGTCTCGGCAGTGAGATCAAGCGACTGATTACTGTGTGAGAACGGCAGGTTAAATCCAAGCCCGAGAAACTCCACGCGGTGTTGGACATCATGGTCTCACAGTTCATAAGGAGAGGTGCACTACAATGAGTAAGTGGTCCTGTTGTATGGCTGTGGGTACAAGGGGGAAAGTGCCATTCATCTCAATGAACCTCACTCCAGAGTCGCCTCATTTCCATGTGAGCAATAATCTAAGGCCAGGGTGGAAACTGATACAGAAACCTGCACTGTCATTTTGCTCAGAAAAGCTGGGTGTAAGTCAGTTGTTCAGTACCAGATGTGATTTAGTGTTTCTAGGGCACACTGCGCTCCTCTCCATCCCATAAGGGTACCCCACTCCCAGTGGAAGCAGATCTCAAGGGCCGCCTGCAATACTTTGGTATATATGAGTAGGCCTGGGGCAGGTTTTCCTGCAAATCGTTTCTACCCTTTTGCCATCACACCAAATGCAATTTCAGTGAGAGAAAGAGGCAGAGGACCAAAAAAAATAATCAATGAGAAAATCAAGTGTTGCATTCTGCCTATGAAAGCATACACTGAAGAGTACACATCCCTGAGCTCTGCCATTTCTACTTAAACACAGTGCAGGTTTCCGTAATGCTGTGCTGTGTTCATAAGCCTTTAAGTAAAGCTTCCTGATCTTCCGGAACATCTCAGGGTTCATCACATTTGTGTTTATTCTGTTACACATCTAACAGTGACACATAGTTGCTATACCGTAAACGTTCTGATTTAGCTAAGAACATTTTTATTTTTTAGTTTTCTGAAGAAATCTCTGTTCCCATGGATCAGCCGTGACACAGGAACTCGGGGACCAAGTTCCCATCCCAAGGGCCTTGCTGTTGTGGCCGGCAGTGATTTCATGCGTGTGCTCCAAGTCCCCTCCAGCCTTGGTAGAGCGTGCAAGGATGCTTTTGTCTCTGAATGCTTTTCGGAGAGGTGCATCAGCGTGAAGTTTGGTGCTGCTCTGCTAAGTATTCCAGCAGCAGTCTGTAAACGGAAACTGAAATATTAATTAGCTCTCTTATATAACTCTTAAGAGCTTATGCTTCTGTAGTCCTTTTCGTCCCAAAGGTTGGTGGCCAGAGGTGTTTTCTCACGTGAATGACTTACTTATGCATTTTTGAAAATAAACAGGGAGTGACAGGACAGTCACCGAACAAGGGGACAGTCATTTTAAATGAAAGGAGGACTGCTTCTTTCCTCCGCCGTGCACAAACTGAAGCACGGGAGCTTTCAAATGGGCGCTGTGAGAGCAGCTAGCTCTTGTTGCTTCTTGTTTTATTTGACTACTATGCAAGTGCTGGACTGCAGCCAAAGAATTCAGCCCCAGAGGAGGCAGCGTGGTGCCTGCAGCAGCCCTGCAGCTCCGACATCGGGGTTTTGACCCTGGTGTGCAGGAAGGAGGGGAAATTCATCACCTTGCTTCTAATTCTGCCCTTTGTGAGGGCTGAGAAGTGCTGCTCAGGGAGCCAGGAGGGCAGCTTGGAGGTGCCCCTTTACCTCCAATGCCTACATGGGAGTGAGGCACTAGGGCTGGTGCTTTGCTCTCTAATATACCATATAGCCAGGCATGTTGAGAGCTCAGCCCTTGCTGCACTTGTTCCCCAGTCAGTACTGTACTTAGGCTCTTGCTCTGGCTTTTTTTTTTTTTTTTTCCTTTGGTCTGCCTTTTGAAGCATTACATTTCTGTTAAACTGGTTATGAGTCTCTAGAAGTACCGTAAGGAACAATGCGGAATCCCATTAGCTGAAGAAAAGTCTGTGCATTTTCCAGGAGAAAAAAGAAATCCCTATGAAAATTTAAATAGTGTGCTATGAAATGTTAATAATCGCTTCTTCCACTAGCAATAGCGTTTTATAAGTAGAATTAGATCAGAGGGCTGTAGATGAATCAAATAAGAATTTCCCTGCATAGTGACAAAGTCTCTTTGGATAAACACCGTGCATATAATTGACATTCAGGAGTCCCTGGGATATTTACTCTTCAAAAGACAGCGGAGGAGTGGCTGACAGGCTGACTTTCCCCAGGGTGCAGCGAGCTGGGTGGGAAGGGTGAGCACCCTTCCCCTCACCCCCCAGGCTCCCTCTGCTTGCCCCTGAGCAGCTCTCCTGCCTCTCTGCCCTGCACACGGCAGCGGGGACAAGATGGGAGATTCCCACTGCCAGCCGTGTCCTGTTTGGGGTGCAGACCCACACCCCGATGTACATGATGTTGTCTCGAGTTTGAAGTCATCCCCCCTGACTGCGCGGCCACATCTGGAGCAGAATACAGCAAGACACAGGACTGGGAGGCGGCAGTGGACGGTAATAACAGGTCCTGGAGGCTTTCTGTCTAGGGCATTCATTTTAAATGTCTAGCACCTGCAATTATAGTTCCCCATTTTATTGCACAGCAAAAGCCCCGTGTCTATTAGGAACAAAATCCATAACGTGCAATGAAAGCAAATTTCATCTCAGCAAAACTCTGCCCTAAGTTGTTTTTTTTTGTTTTTTTTTTTTGCACAGAGCAACGTTTTAATAAATAATTAGGGAATGAAACAACTGTCCTCCCTGCTTCCCAATAGGGTGGGGGTGATGTTTGCCCTGGCAAGGTGCAGGGGGTGGCTCACGGGTTGCTCCAGCAGCTGCTGAGAACCGCCTGACTGCTCCCTGCCTGCGGGCACGTCCCGGCCGTGCCACCCCAGGGCCCTGCCCTGTCTGGGCTGTAGGAAGAAGGGATGCCGTGACTTCTTGCGGCTCTCACAGCAAGGTATGGGCAGTGTCATCACGGGTAGATCTGTGAAATCCATCCCCAGGGCTGCAAACTGGCTTCCCGTGTGCCGGCGGTGCTCATTTCAGACACCGTCTCCCATCACGAGGCACCCTGGCAAGATCCCGGCCCCATTAGAAATCAGCTCAGGGTAGGTGTGTACGGAGCCAAGATGCTGGTATTTTGAAATGTAATGGAAAATTAATCAACAGGCATACTAGTAGGGCATTTTCAGCGTTACTGTGTATATTTTTAAGCAGATTGGCTCCCTGTATGTTGATAAAAATTGCAACGCTCTGCTTATATTTGATTAAGTAAAGAAATGTCATGTTTTGCAAACTCGGTGGTTGATATGTAAGACTGAATAAAAAACAGATGCCCCTCTGTCTGTTCAAAAACAAAAGACATCACACTGAGGAACCAGAAGAAGCGAGCATCTCTCACTCTTTTTTCCCTTCTTCCCGGCTGGAGCTGGTTCTCAGTAACACTGATCCTGCGAATTTTGGGTTTGTTTACTAACACCGAGAGCCTGCTGCTAAGGGTTTCCTGTTGTTTTGGTGAGTTTTGTGTTTCTTTTTTTTTCATCGGAAGGGCTTCATTTGTTCCAGTGCTCGCTGTACTGTGTGGTTTTGGGGACTCAGACAGCCCAGCCCTAAGCTGACTTTCCCTTGGCAAACACCGGTATGATTTTTAGAAAAGGAGCGAGGGCATCATCTCAGGAGATGACTCGACAGCTGCGTGGCGTGGAGGAGGAAAAGGTTTTCCCCAGCCCTGCATAACAAGGAGCTCTGCAGGCTAAAAGAGGTATTCCCAGATGCCTGGAGCCTTTCTTAATTTGGTTTTTGAAGCTGCCCCGCGCAGCTCTCCCATGCTTCGTAAGTGCAGAAGCACGTCGTAGCCTGTGGGACGGCGTGGGTCTGTGAGTGCTGGGCTGACTTTCTGTCCCTCTCCAGCACGCCGCACTTCCACCGGCTGCTCTCGGAGCGATTGGCCCTTGCAGATCATGTGGGAGAAGCAGGAATCCTGAGTTGTAGCTTTTGGCACTCCTTTTTCTTTTAAAGCGCTTGCTCTTTTCAGCTCCCTAGGGCTGGTTGCCTCCCTCCTTTCATTACCCTGATTATAATCTGGAGTAGCCACACGGGGAGACCGAAGGAGGGATTTTAAAGGAGCAGAGATGTTTAAGCAGGTGCCCAGGACATCAGGCACAGGCTGTTACTATCTCAACTCAGTGTCACCCGAGGGCCAGGAGATGTACTTGCGATTTGACCAGACGGCGAGGCGCCCTCCCTACAGGACGAGCAGGATTCTCGCACGTCACCAGCTCCTGACGAAGATTCAGCAAGGTGAGTGTCTGGCAGGAGCCCTCCCTAGCCAGCTGCCGTGGCAGGTCCCCGCTTTCGTAATCGAAGATGTTTTCATCCCTCAAATTCCAGCCCCTTTTTCCTCCCTGTTCTGAACTAATCCGGTTTGGGTCGGAGTTTGGAACAGTCATTCACAACTCGCTCTTTCTGCACATTGCACCTATGCACGTAGGCATGGAGAACCAAGAGACAACTGCTAGTGCCTGTTTAGCTATTTAACTATATAATCTTTTAATCATAAACTATGCAGGAGTTTTAGTGCTGAAGTTCGTCTTTTCTGACCGGCACAGCAGCTGCTGGCACCGGTACCTCTGCTCCGAATGCTGCAGGTGAAAGCTGCCTGTAACGCACAGAGAACAAATAGGTGATCAGCCAGGTAAAAACAAAGCATGAGCCCAGGGCGGCTGGAAGCTGCCAGCGGGGCTAACCCTCTCTGCAAACAAGCATGTGTAGCTGTCAGAGTGCTGGGAAACTTGTCACATGTCCCTGAGAATAATGGCTGACTTGGCTTTCTCTGATTGCTTATGCATTTATCTAGGCGGTCACTGCAGACGTATTGATTTTCTCAGAGTGTCTACAGGGCTGAAGCTAAATGCAGGTTGGCCTCAAGACAAATCCTTTGCCCTGTATGTGCAATTGAAATTATCTTCAGAATGTTTAAAGCAAGTATAAAAAATAAAAGCTAACTGAACTAGTTTTTTTCCAGCTTAAAAAACAAATCAGTAAATAGTAGCATCCTGTTTGAATAACGCCAGTTTCCCAGATAGATGTGGTCCAGCCTACAGAAAAGAACATGCCACATATTTGCCATCAAAAAAATAAAATCCTGAAGATAGCAATTTCTCAGTCACTTTCTTGTCAGTTTACAAAAAGGTCTTTGATTCTGCTAACTAGGGACAGTCACAGAGTTCACATCATTCACTGTCTCTACCTAGGAAACTAGTAAATAAATTGGTGAGGGCTTCTGAACAGCAGCAGTTAAGCAGAGTGGCTATCCCTGTGTGTTGCTTTCAAGTAATATTCTGTGTATGTGTGGCTGTCAAACTCTCACAGAAGTACAGGGACGTAGTGATGAAACCTTTATTGTGTTTATAAAGAAAACAATACTTACTTCGTTGGCCAGCTTTTAAAAAAGATGAAGGAGATAGTTTCTGTGGCAATTAGGAAAACGCAGTTGTTTGCAGCGCGATCTCAGGAACTGGTCCTGTGTGAAGGATACTGGTCCTCTCTGCAGCTCTGATTTCAGGAAGGATATTATGTCATGCTGTGTACCCAGTGTACAGCTGGGGCTGAATGGAAAGGAAGGGTAATTCATTTCTCCTCAGAATTATTTGGAAGTGTTTTAGGCACGGTGTTAGAGCCAACTTCATTTTTGAGCAGCAGCTACTGATGAAACTGTTCGACGCGCCTCCTTTACCTGTCTTGTGCTGCACAGCTTTCCCTCCTGGACCTTGTATGTCGCGGGCTATACAGGAGTTGTTCCACCGTGAAGATCTTCCCAAAACCTGTGACCGATGTGAAAGGCTGCAGTTGAGGCGGCAGTCAAAGTATGACATACACATACTCTGAAAATCAGGTCATTTCATAAAGCAGCCTTGGCTACGTCATGCCATGGCAGAGATACTGGAATCCTGTAGTTAGCATTGGAAATGAAGGCAATAAATACTGCCATGGCTCGAGAGGCTGGGACAGATAGGAATTTCTGCGTTGCAACTTTTCTGTCTGCAGTTTGTTGCACGGGTCCTCGGTATGTGGGGAGTCTGCCACAGCTTTCCATTACGTCCCGTGCCAGGCTGTAGGAAATTATACTTGGATAGTGCCTTGATGATATGATACATTGCAGCTCAGCATGTACCAACGTGACACAAAAGAAATTTAGGTATTTTGGCTTGCTAAGAATACACTTCTTTTACTGATAGAAAGCTGGGGACAGAGTCCACTGTTGGTTATGTGTCAGTTCATTAGTAATAATGATACTGAATGTGCAAGTAGGTGCTGATGTGCGTGCTGTGTGCCTGTATATAGGATCATACAGGCCTAGTAGAAAATCACAGGTGAGGTATACATTTTTCCTGAAGTGCTCCAAGTAATGAATAACAAATTTAAAATAAATACCTGTGTTAGCAATACAATAAATAAATAAATAAAATAAACCTAAGTCTAACTAGTATAACTCAACCTGAATCTTCCCGTTTATGCTCTGGAATGAATCCTAGATCCGCCGAAGGCACTGACAAGACCTTCACGAGGCCTCCCTGGGCCAGCAGGTCAACCCTCTGTGGCTGCCACCAGGCCAGGGCAGGTGGGGTTCATGTTGCATGCAGTGATGCTGTCATTCCTAAGTAAATGGAAGTGCTGTGATGCAGGCAGAGAGGGGACTTCAACATGGACTGAGGTATCAGCCTGGAAGCATGATTAGTTGGTAACAGAGTGCCAGAGAGCAACTTACCAAGAATATATTGAAAACTAAATCAGGAGATACAAGACGAAAACCAAACCCAGCCTCCAGTGTCCCCATTCCATAAAGCGTGTGTAAATCATTCTTCAGGCTCCCTGCTTTCATATATAACTGGTCCACACATTTTTAAGGCAAGAAGAAGCCAATTTAGAGAATGTATTTGAACCCCACTCCCCTTGTTCTTGCGTTAGCACCTCCCCTGTCTAGTCACTGCTTGAACTAGAGCATATGTTTAGAAAAACATCCAGGCTTCATTTTAACATCACTGGAATGATGAGTCTTGCATGCTTAATTGCTTTGCTGGAAGGAGAGCTGCCACATGTTTAAGTGCTAAGCTGCCTTGGGGCTTGTTTGAATACCTGCTCTCTGCTTCTTGTGCGGATATTTTTCGGTTACTAGATTTCAAACCGGAGGCAGCCACAATAGTAAACACTGAAGTTCTTACAACAGGGGTAATTTTCCTTACTGAAAGGAGTGATTTACTAAGCAACGGATAGAGCACTCAGAGCTTCCAGCCCGGGATCTGAACCTGCTTCACTAATGCAGAGTAATACCAAGTGTTGCATGCACTTCTAGCTTTTCTGTCACAAGTGGCATATACTATTCTAAATGGTGCTGAATTACTCTATCATGTTGTGCAATACAGCTTTTCTTCCTCCTTTAAAAACACTTTTGCCGAAGAAGCTTTCCTTTGTATTTTCCTTTGGTGTTAGTTAAAAATAAACAAAATGAATCATTATAGGAATTATGTTATTTAATCATTTCTAAAAAGAAAACCACCATAAGGGAAATGAAACGAACTAGACTGTTATTTTAATCAGCTCATACTTTGAAAGTCCTAAATATTTGGTTTGTGTTCACACTGACTCCTTGAGGCAGAATTATGTGGTGGCCTGTGAATGCAAGCAGCAATTATCTGTCTGATATTAAATAGGTATTTTCAAAATGTGATCTTTTGATGATTCCCTTTCCCCCCCTAAGCCCGTTAGTTTCCATGCTGAAGGGGACACATGCCTCAGCGTAAAGGAACAGGGTGTAGCACGTTTGGTCTGAGGTATTTATTCAAACAGTGTAGGCAGTAACTGTATGAGAATTCATTAATGATTACTCATGTGCTCTTTAAATAAATAAGGTGGTGACTTTCAAGAATTTATATTACGTGAGTCACAAAGTTGTTATTTCTTTCAGAGTACATGGCTAAATACAGGATAGAACAGAAAATATAAAAAGTAGTTGTAGGTGAAAAGCAATGAAGAATTACTGAAAATTTTAAATTGAAAGCAGTGGTTGTGCAGCCCAAGTAGAACATAAGTCAAGGTGAATGGAGCCACATTCTTCCCCAGCACAGCTAGGCATTGCTGTTAAAGAAAGATCCATGTTTATATCTACAGAAAGATTTGGTTTTTAGACTGCACTTTCAGAAAGAAAATAATATGAAGAAAAAATAGGATGAATTCCTGTTCTTAGTGAATAAATTCCTGACCACAGTGAGTAATGCTCTGTGATTTGCCTCAGTTCATGTCCACGGGCAAGAGTTGTTTAAGAGGATCTTTTGATGGAACAATCTCAAAGCGTGTTACAACTTTTCAAGGCAAACTCTCCATTCAACATTCAGCAGATGTTTTATACTCTTGTAAGTTCAGTTTTGAACTTCTGTGATTACTGTTATTGTATGTCACCTGCCTGGTTTGAGGGAGTGTTAGAGAAACAAATGCATTTTTCTGTCTATATTCTTCACTCTGGAATTAATTCATTGTGTTTATTTTTTTGTCTTTTCTAAGCATGAGTAGCTTCCAGTTTGCGGAAGGTGTTACAGAGGGATGTGAGTGACGTGTGTTTCAGGTGACTTTAAATCTCATCTGTCAACATAAACCAAACCAAATAGCAGCAATAGACAGCTGTAATATACTGCCATACAGTGCTCAGAAGGAGAACCTGGAAATGATGCAAGTGAAAATGGTGCAGTCGTAATCTGCATTTAAAAAAAAAAAAAAGGATCTCATTCTGCTGGATATGTGTACAAGTAGAGAGAACCTGTCCATCACTGGAGATTGGAAGCAGGATATGATTGTGTAATTAAAGACTATGGTTTTGTTCAAAGACACAAAGAGGCCAAAATACAGTTATTCAGGCAAACCGGACTACACCTTTCCCCACATTCTGGATGCTGGCCACTTTACCTATACATCTTTTAACCTAATTGTCTGAATCCAAGAAAGCAAAAGGTGAGCCTACAGGACTCAACTTGATGATAATGATGACCTATGATAGTGACCTCCAGCCCCTTGAGCTTGTGGGCTATCTAGCAGCAGTAGCTGTTTGTAGTTTTTCTGTATGAGCTGTGCATCAGAGGTGCAGCAAGACCCAGCAGAAGGCAGGAGGGGATGTTTCTGGGGCTGGGGTGGCCTGAGCTACCTGGGGAAGGATCCTCAGCTGCAGAGCTGCATTGCAGACCTTAGCTGGGGCATGGCCCATCACTCTGTCCAGTCAGACAAGCATGTGGGGTGGGCATGAACTCACAGCA